TCTGTCTGTCCGTCTGTCTGTTTCTCTCTCTCTCTCTCTCTCTCTCTCTCTCTCTCTCTCTCTCTCTCTCTCTCTCTCTCTCTCTCTCTCTCTCTTTGCGCTGTCATATTCGCTAAACACTCAAAAAAGCATGACAGTGGCATACTGTTGCGTCGGACTTTCACCAACTCATCAGGAGGTTGAACCCTCTCTTTCTGTGTGTGTGTGTGTGTGTGTAAGTGTGTGTGTGTGTGTGTTTTAAATTTCCACCATAACAGCCCCTATTCCACCCTGACCAGTAGATTCGAGTTGAGCCAGCCCAACAATAAAACAATTTCACCTCTTTAGCAAGCAACATGAGGCATAAGAGAAGCATTCAGAACTGTGTTTAGCTGGGGTTTCTTTGGGGCAACAGCTCCTCTTTTACTATGCCTCGCGCGTACAAGGCTGCCCACGTTGATTGTGGTTAAGCAGCAGCTGCCCACATCCCCGTGTGCCTTAACAGCCCACTTGCACGTTATGACAGTGTCTGTTTTAAGTTTCCACCACAACAGCCCCTCTTCCACCCAGATGAGTAGATTCGAGTTGGGCCAGCCCAACAATAAAAGAATTTGCCTCTGTAGCAAGCAACATGAATCATAATAGAACCATTTTGAACCGTGTTCAGTTGGGGTTTCTTCGGGGCAACATCTCCTCTCTTACTATGCCTCGCACGTACAAGGCTGCCCATGTTGATTGTGGTTAAGCGGCAGCTGCCCACATCCCCGTGTGCCTTAACAGCCCACTTGCACGTTATAAGAAGAGGCGGAGTAAAAGGGAAGGTATGCTCCTGTTCATTTATCTTCAGATCTTCATACTCCTGTTCATTTCACTTCAGATCTTCAGCTTGTGTCTGTCCTTCGTCTTCATACTCCTGTTCATTTCACGTGATCGTCATATCGTCTGTTCTCTTATCGAAGCTCATTCATGTGTACAAGGCTACCTGTTGCGGTTTCGCCCGCAAAACAATGAAGGGAAAAGGGTGCAAATGAGGGTGGGTGGGGGCTTGTTGGTCCAGGTGTGGGTTTGGGTGGGGCCGTGGTGTTTTTAAGGCTCACCTGTGCACTGTTGTTGACACTGCCGATGGAATGCTGCTCCTGCTTTGATCGCCTTGAATATATGCTTTTTTTTTCTCTTTTTGAATTTTTTTTGCTTTTTTCTCCTGTCAGAGACCTAATCACAGTTTGCATTCTTTTCAGTTGTGGTTTGCTGGGTACGTGATTGTTCGGATTTGAACTCGTCTGTTGTGTGTGTCACACGTTGCATACCTGTCTCCCGCTCACCACCATATTCTTTATCAGATGTCGGGAGATACGCAATTCTGTGATCGTGTGGGGGGGAAAGGGGCAGGCCGTGTAGTAAGATTGGGGTCTCTCTCTCTCTCTCTCTCTCTCTCTCTCTCTC